AATTACAATAATTACAGAGGTGGATAATTTTATTATCTTTATAGATGAGGAAACTGAAAGTCAGAGTGGTTAAATAACTTGTCTGAGAACACAACCGGCAGTGTCACACATCTTTAATATCCCCTGGATAAATCTAGAGTTTGCTGAAAGGGGAAAGTTTGAGTGTGTGCATCAAAGATGATAGGACCTGGTAGAAGGGGAAAAGGGGTTAGTCTGCAAGGAAAAGTATGCTCCAGAAAGGAATAAAGGGAGAAGACTAAAGAGGGAGTAAAGACAAATCCTGTGGTAGCAGTAAGGGCAACACGGACAGATGGCCTTAGGAGCCTCGCTTTGTCCAATCTTTTTCCATTTTGTTAAAATTTGCTTTTTCTTGATATTTTTACCAGCATTTTAAACTATGCAGAATTGCTGAATTGCTATATATACTCTTTCTCTACAATAGCTGTGTAGATGCATCCCAGCTTATGTTAAGTTTGGGGATATGGCCTACCCTCAGCACTGAATGATATTTTTCTAGATTTTTCTCACTCCTGTGGTCCTTCTTAGAAGTAAGTTTCAGTTGATTGCTAGACCAGTATATGTGACTATCACCCTTTCTTCTGCTTAGGAAGAGCTATTACTCTGTACTGCTGTGGGCAGGGAAAGCAGAAAGATGCTTCAGTCTGATCTCCTTTCTCTCCTCCAATCATATAAACTGCCTCCAGGGTGGGATAAATGTAAATGCTGAGCCTCAAGGGAACAGGGTCTAGGATAAGTATTTTGGTAAGGGAATCTATAGTATTTTACCCCTTTCCATACAAGTGGGGCTGATGCTTATTTCCCAAGCTTGCTAGAGGATATCTATTTGGAGTAGAAGGCAGAAAGAAAGGCTGCCCATTCTGTGTTTTCAGTTTTTGTGTTGGTGTGATTTTATTTTATTTTAAAAAATTTTTATTGAAGTATAGTTGCTTTACAATGTTGTGTTAGTTTCTGCTGTACAGCAAAGTGAATCAGCTATATATATATATATATATATCCCCTTTTTTTTTTTGGATTTCCTTCCCATTTAGGTCACCACAGAGCTGTTGGTGTAATTTTAAAAAGAACATATTTTTAATCTCCTTATGCTGGATATTCTTCATCTGCCCCTCTAAGTCTACTCTCCACCTGTACTGTGGTCTTCATGGACTGCATTACCCAGGTTCCCCTTACTCTCTGGATTATAGTTGGGTTTGGCCAATGGGAGGAACAGGCAGAAGAGCAGGAAGATCTTCCAGGAAGGTAGTCCCTTCCCTCCCTCCCTGTGGTTTGGCAGCAGCTATGCTTCCCTACTTAAGGCCATAGCTTCTGTTGGGTGGGACACAGCTTTCACGGCTCCTCTCTTGTCCCCAGGCCTGAGAGTGGTAACAGCTTCCAAGGGCTCCTCCACCATCCCTTGTTGATTCCCTTAACCCTGCCCTTCCCTCTGTAAATATTCCTTTCAGTCAACAGTCCTCAATCACCCTTTTCAATGTGCCAGCTTTTTCTGCTGGAATCATCACTGATCTGTTTGACTTGGCATATTTTAAAAAATGAAACACACAGATCACAGAATTAAACCACCCAAACTGACCTTTAATTGTACATACATTTTATAGGAAATACAAAAATATAATTCAAGAAAATTTACTTACAAATAAAAATCATAAAACCTACCAGAAAATAAAGTAACTTTCTGAAATAAAAATTAATGCCCAATACATGGCCTTGTTTCCATGTATAAATTAGACTATAGCTTCTGTGAATTGCTAAAATGACATTTATTTCCATAGTGTGTATTGCAGGTGATCAAATGCTTTGTAAATTAAAAAAGAATCAATGATAATGCTGTTAGTATAATGATTATAGGTATGTTTTAAATGTGCAATCAGAGAGAAATTCCAACAGAGTTGTGTTTCATAAAGGCAGAAGATGGCCATCATGAGTAGGTATTGCCAAGTCCACACATATTAAATTTGCAGGGAAGACTGTTTCTCTGTGAAGGACTCAAGTAGGGGCTTTTCCCAAATTCAGAAAACCATTATTTTTGGCTTAAACCACTAGATTTGGCTAAGTGAAGTAAAAAAAAAAAACCTTCATCTTAAGTGTGAGCTAATTGTCTTCCCCTACCTTTCAAAGTCATCGAATTCTAAACTTGAATATGTTGGGTTTTTTCCTGGTTCAAAGCAGAGCTGACATTACAATAGCAAGAGGGCAGTCTGTCTTTCAAAGTGCACTGATGTGAGCTGGCAGGGGCACCAACAGTTGAACTGAGTTACACTGAGAACGTAGTGTTGTGGATCGGATTTTCCCTCCACCTGCCCAGGGCTCACAGCCTCCGCCAGCATGGCAGTTTTGGGTTGGTGCTGTTTCTAGAGTCTTGCTCTGGCTCTAGGTTGTCATGGGTCCAGACCACTTTGAGATTCAAGTCTTTTGGAGGCTTTCTATAGTTTCTAAGCAAACTCAGGCCCTATCAGGATCTTTGGAGATTCAAGGCCACAGTTTAGTACCAGAGTTTCCCAGTTTTCTCTTGGGAAAGATGACCTGGGGCCACAGTGAACCATCCAGGAAATTCGGCTCAGGATAGACTGCTTTGGTCCATCCCATTTCTGGACACCTAAAGTTAGGGCTGGCATTCTGAGTTGACTATCCACTATAGTTTCTTTTTCCCTTTTCATTCCACTGACTGTTAGGTGCAAAGAATAAAATCTAAGTCTTTTTTCGTCCCAATTCAGTTCTCTGATGTACCAGGCTAAATTCTGCGTTTTTTATTTTACTTGAAAATGAGTCAGTAAACTTAAACAGGTACGTCTGATGTGACGTGATTTTTAAAAATATTTTTAAAATTTAAAAAATATTTACATATCCAATATAAGTAATTTTTTCTATTACCTTGAAATTTCCATTAATAGTAAGCGGTTTACTGTTACATAGGATTTTAACTTTCAATTCCTTCTATGTAAATATCAGTGCAGATGAAATAACAGGATTTAGTCATTTAACACAGTGCAAGGAACAGGAGTATACTAGGAATCAAAGCGCTGGAAATCTATCAGTTCTTAATGACTTAAACTCATATTTTGGGACCACAGAGTGAAAATTTTGTTCCCAGTAGTGATATTATGTCCAAGTTTGTGTTTTTAAGTTCTCAGGCATTATTCGAGAATTTTGGGGGCTGGTGAGATACGGTGAATGATTGTACTTAACATTTTCATTTGGAGGCTTTTGGAGGCAAAAGTCATCTGATAAAGGAAATTAATCTTCCAGATTCAAAGTAACTTTAGAATTTTATGTTTAGGAATTACCCATGAGCCTAGTTAATCCTATTTAGAACAATTTCTTAACTCTAGAATACTTTGTGGACAGGGAAGATTTATGTAAATGTCCAGATTTTAGCTAAGTTAAACTTTGCCTGGTTTGTTTAAATTAGTAGGAAAGCAAACCATTCTTTTTAAAATAAGGGATGATTTGACATAGCTTGTGTCAAAATACACTGATTTCTAGATAGGTCTGGAATCACTCCTAAGTGATCATCTAGTCTGATAACTACTTATAGGAAATAGTTTTGCATAAGCAACTCAATGAGACTAACATTCTTTTTTGGTTTTTTATTACAACTATGCTGTAATAACACTCACTGCAAAAAAACAAGGTGTCCACTATTTCAAAGATCATGCTATAAGGGAAAAAAAATCCTCTAATACCAAGTACTGTATTGAATATTTCAAACTCTAATCTGTAATGCAACCACACTTTAAAAACCTGCCAAATTAAATGAAAAATTTCCACTTTTAACTCATTTTAAAAATTATAATATCTACACTAATTATAAATTGTTGTTTGGGGGAATTCATCACATATTATCCCATTTTCAATTTTTTGTTTTATAGTTTATTTTTGTAACATTTCAGATGAGTTTACACTGTAACTAAGATATGATTAAACAGTGCAAATTCACTGAAATATTTTATGCCGAGTTTACGTAATGCCAAACATTTAGAATTAGAAATATGTTAAGATATGACTCACTGTTACATGATTTCCTATACAGTATGAGTCAAGCCGTATTTCCAAGATGAATTTTGCTACAATACAACCATCCTATAAAGTAGATGTTAGTTATGTCCTCAACACCAGCATTAAAAGAGTTCCAGTGTATCTGAAGAACTGACCAGATTTTTCAGTTTTTAATCCTAATATTTGGCTTCAGACATAGCCACATATACGATTCCCTGGAAATAGAATGAAGAGTATTAATCAGAATTACCTCTCTTAATAGTCTACTATTTATTGTTGAGAGGAAAATTCCTAGCCTTTTTGGTTACTATTAGCACGGCAGACGTTATAAAATAAATAACCTGACACTGACACACAGCTTCTTGTGGATGGTGAAAAAGCTGACATTAACGAGCTGAGCCTACTCAGTAATACTGAGTTATACTGTTGTAAAAAGAGAGTACTCCCACATACACAAACATACAGTACAAAGTACCTATGGTTTTCAGATTCATTGTCCAAAGAAAGGACGATCACAAGACACCGGGCTTGGTTGCTTGCACATATCCACTTCCTAGAGAATACGTAAGAAGTTTTATCTGGTCTGACTGTACACTGTATGTTTATAATGGTACTAGCCTAGAAGCTTAAAATAGAAAACACAGTAACTATTTAGGGTTTTAAACAAATTACAAAACTACATCCTTTCTCATTCAACAGGAAAGCTTAAATCGAAAGGCACTGGATCTTAAATGCAATTGGTTGTTCCTCTAAAGGCCATGGAACATGCTCTTTGACGGTAGGTTTTATAGATCCTTCTGATACCTTCCACGAAGTGCCTTGTCAGCATGTCTGTAGCCCAAACCACTGCTGAAATGTGTGTTTGCTCTGTTTTATTAGGGTAGCTTCATTGTATTTATAAACTAACTTTTTTCCATTTCTTCAAGGAACCATTTCAAAATGATCTTCCAGATGCTGGGTAACTAAGCACTTCTTAACTACCATCCTCAAAGGTCAACCTATTTACTGGCATTTGACTGTGTAGAACAGGAAGTTTGTGTTGCATCTTTTGTTCTTAATGAAACCCGACAACAGAGGACTGAACGCATTAGTCTCAGAACAGGAGGCCTCAGGATGGCAAAGACCCAAGGGTCAATTATTGAATTAATTGATAAAAATCTAAGAGCTTGGAGGTCCCACTTTTCTTTCCGGGAAGAGGTTTCATTCATATATGCAAAAATCTGTAAGAAGCAAAAGGGGAAAAGGATGTTAGTTTTACATTGTAGCAGTGGACAGGCTTAGACCATATGCAATTTCGTAAGACTGAAAAGCAAAACGTGTTTTGTGTGTGGTCGTAGTGGTGAGAGAGGGGTAGCAAAATCTCACTCCTCTCGCACATGTTTATGCCTTACAGACACTCTGAAACATAAGTATTGTCTCTTTCTGACAGATGAGAAAGTGAGTTAATAACAACATGTTGCATTTACTTCCAAAAACTGAATCTGGCTTCATTACAACAATTCAGTGAGAGGGCACACAACAGAGCCTGTGTTCTGGCCATTGGGCTGCCTGGGTTTGAATCCTGGCTCCACAGATAGCTTTAGGACCATAAGTAAGAAAACTAACCTCTTTGTGCCTTCATTTCTGCATCTTTAAAATGGGTGATAACGATAACAATACCTATTCTTGGGGTTGTTGGCAGGATGAGAGGAAATCATCCGGTCAGCTACTGAAAACTGCTCACTTAATAAGTGCCCCCGCAACGTTAGTCTTTATTATCTCCGTTTTACCAGTGAGGACACCACGGTGCAGAGAAGGTGAGGGACTTGCCCAAGTTCCCAGGGCTGGTCAGTGGCCGACTCAGGACACAAATTCCAAGTCCCTTGACACCAGAGCAGCGCTCACTGTGTGCTACATCCAGGTCGCCTATGTTAGACCAAAGGTCTTCAGAACAAAGTCCTAAACACCGGAAAGCTGACACATCTTAACGCATTGGCTACTGACACATCTTTACGCATTGGCCAATGTCCTCAAAGCAGTATACCAGCTCTCATCCGATTTCTTAGATATTTAGGGAACAACACAACTTTTTGGTCAGATTGCAGAGAACAGACCAGTACATGCTTGATAAAGATCAAACATTTCCACATGGCTTACAGAAAAGAGAGAGATACGTAAATCACACCTAGTCTTTTGAAACCAGTTGTTTATAGAGCTCCTGGGACTTTCTTACCAAAGGCAGCTGGTGAGTTAGAGAGCTATTCCTTCTTTCCTCCACTCTCCCTTGCCAGAAGAAGGAATGGTTTGTTTCCTTTTCCCCCCACTACTTACTCTGCAGGCATCTGGCAACTGGATACACAAAGCAAATTGCAGGGAGGGAGAAGGGTAGTCATCTTCGGGTTGCTTATGTTAGGACAATATCAGGAAGGTTTGGCAGCCATAGGTGTTTATGCCAGAGAATCTTGGCTTAAGGGAATGGAGAAAAGACTTGGCAGATGAGTAAAGGAAAAAAAGAAAGAACTGATGGTGGATGTCCCTGAGTATACAGAGAAGAGGAAAGTTAGGTGGGGATATGCAAGGGAGCAATACTTTTCTTGTCAGCTAAACTATTTTGGATGAGAAATTGATAGTACTTATATGGTGTATTTAAGGAGCGATTTTGAAGTTTAGGAATTCAGGATAACAGTGTACATAAACCCAATAGATTAAAATATATTAGTCACCACACACACACAACTGAGCATTCTGTTGTAGAAAAAGTCTGTAGCTGAGTTTAGATCTAATTTTGCCAAAGAATATAATACTGGATTGTCTAGTGGGCCATGTAGAGAGGGCTCAGCCTCTAGTGTCATGGGTCACACATCAAGATGAGTCAGGTTTTCAGTGGTAAGTAACCCAAACCATAGTTCCTGATCTCTTTAGAGTGTGACAGACCAATGAGAAGTGAAAAATGGTTTTAGAGGATGAAGCAATTCTGTACTATTTGTTTCCTTTCCTTTTCATCCACTATGCTGAGTAATTTTTAGAAATGCTTACAATTTGCATTTTAGGAGGCGGCCAATATGTTTTAGGAGATAATTTCCTCTTTTACGCTTGGAAAAGAGACATACCTTGAAGCTCTTGACGTAAGTTTTGTCTTCTCCTACCTCTCCATTTTTGTTCCTTCGGTTCTTGGCTTTTGCCTAGAGTTCACCATTTTCGATCTTGTGGACCCTGGGTTTTTTCTTTTTAATTTAAATTATACATAGAATAGAATTTACCATCTTAACCATTTTCAAGTGTCATTAAGTGCATTCACATTGTTGTGCAACTGTACTCTTTGTATTTTTGTTTTCTGTATATTATGATGTTTTGACATCATAAAAACTTTCCGGCTGGGGAGGGACTGCCCCTTCCAGGGCTAGCCAATTCTTAAGAGATAGCCAAGGGCTCACCCAGGAGCAATCGCTTGATATGCAAACTAACCAATGCAGAGCTCCGCTGTGTGGCCCTTTACCCCTAGGAGGCAGCTTTCATCATTCCAAGGCCTGGTACGGGGTGACTAGGGGGCTACTTGGATAGCTTAGAGCCTGTCGAGATGCTTCACAATAGCCAGTCCTAAACTTTTTACCCTACTCTGCCTTGTCTTTCCCTCAGAAACTCCAGCGAAGTCCGTGGCACAGGCTCTCCCCAGCTCCTGCCTCTTTTTCCTCCTGACCTGCACTGGTACTTCCTCGTGTGGCCCTGCACATTACGCAGTGCTTCCTGTTTTTCAGACCTGTGAGTTTGCTAAACTGTGTTTCCTGGAGCATCTCCTGTCTCCTCTTGTGGCCGCACTTGACTGACCATCATATAAAAAGAACAGGGAACAGCAACCATCACCACCATCCATCTCCAGAACTTTTGACATCTTCCTAAACTGAAACTCTGTACCCATTAAACACTAACTCCTCATTCACTCTCCCTCCAGCTGATCCTGGATTTTAATTAAAGGCTGACACAATGGATAGAAGTCAATTAATTAATAATGTTTCAGTGATGTTCTGAAGTTCAGCTTCAGAGTCTGGTAGAATTTATACATGCTTTTGCACATACTACAAATAAATCTGCTATGAGAAAAGTACCAAGGATTAATGTAAACCAGCCTAGTGAATTTTAATTCCTTAGGACAGACTCTCTCTATAGGGCTTTGCTAAGAATACAGAGCTTGTTGTGATACCTGGAAAGCGGCACAGAGGAAAATTAGTATTCTTTTGCCTTCCATAGAATCCTTGCCACCTCCATGGAAAACTTTATCTTGGCACTGACCTGGCACCGTTTCTTTCAGCTACTTTCCTACCTTTAGTGTGACTACATAGTGGGTTCAGAATTTTAGAGTAAATGAGAAATTTATTTGGCTGTGCACTGAAATCACCTGTGGATAATTAAAAATATTCTGATGGAAAAAACAGTTTAAAAATAAAGAAATAAAAATACTCTGATAGCTTGCTCCCTCTCTCAGAGACTCTGATTTAATCAGCCTGGGCTGTAACCCAGGTGTCAGGGCTTTTAAAGTCCCCCAGGTGATCCTAATATGCAGGCAAAGTTGAGACCCACTGCTTCAGACCCTTACCCCAAAATTGAAATAGTTTAAAATTATTCATTTATCACACTTAAAAACAAAAGACCCACTTAGGCCTGGCCAATCAAACAAATGACATGGAGCTTCCAGAATTCACTTCCTGGTCATTAATATCAAATGATTTTCCTTTGGAAACTGAATCCTATGGAAAGAGTAGCTAATATTTACTGAATACCTGTATGCCAGGCATGGCGCTAAGCAATTCGTGTCTTGTTGTGTTTAATCTTTATACAAATCTGTAAAGTGTTATTACTCCCATTTTAGTAAGGAGGAGATCAAGGCTCAGACAATCAGTTATCCTGTCCCAAATCACACCGCAGCTAAGTAGGGAAGCCACGCAATTATAGTAGCAGGACCCAGACTTTCCTCTTAGCCACTACACACTCTGCTACCATCTATATAAAAAGCCTCTGATGTAAAGTCTCACATGAGATTCACCACTGACTGATTATGGGTTTGTAGGAGACTTTTTTTCCAAATGTGTCACAAAGATTTATGGGTATTATTTCTCCTGTTTATAGATTTTAAAACCATGGCTATATCTAAGTAGCTACTTGGTTTTCTTTGGGTCTTTTCTTTCTTCCACGCTTTCCACAGCTAGATGGCAGGCATCACCTTGACCAAGGGTGTAGACGTAATGCACCACTTCTCTTTAGGGAAAAGGACCATAGTTCTTGCTGTCTAAATGTTTAAAAACCAGTGTAATTACGTCATTATTTACAACCACAATTTCATAATATCAAATGGCAAAGGAAAAGGTGTCAAGTGAAAACACTCATATAGAAGAACTTTCTCGTAAAAGGTAAGGTGTGTTAAAACTCTTTCAACAATCCCCAAACACATCATTGATGATGTATGAATGATAAAGGGCCTTCCAGTAGTCCATGGATATTAACTCAAAATATCACCAGGCAAAGTTTGTTTTGGTTATGCGTAGAGATTTCTGAATTTCTCTTTCATCCCTACTAGAATTGTGATACTGTGCATGTATGTAACTGACAAATTTCAAATCAGTTTTACAACCCCTATTCATGTTACATTTTACATAAAGAGTACCAGGAATGAATGGGAAACTCCAGTACTCTTTATTTGAGTTTGCTCTGTATTTCAAAGATCAGATTTCCACTAATCAGAGTAACCTAGAAATTATAGCCCTAAAGAATTTCTAAAGATGAAGACCTTTTAGAATGAGTCAATGGTTCACTCTTGAAATTTTAGAACTGAATAAAATGCATAAGCACTTTATCCTAATGACATGGGGAAAACAGTTTAAAATGACCAGAAGTTATTCACAATTATTAGTAAAGTAGTGAGAAAATGGCTAGATATGGGTTGGAAATTAAAAGACAAACAGTATCTGAGTCAAGAATGGAAGAATGGAGGTCTGATATATTTCCTGTGTCCTGTTTCATTTCAGGAAGGAAGTTTCTATTTATCACTGTGAAATGATGACAATATCTGATTAACATGAGGAATGCATTAATTTACGCAATATTCCTTTAGTGCATAAACAGTTTGGAATATGTTGTTAGTCCTACGCATGACTTTATATTGGATTGCCAAAATAATGCTTTTTAAAAAAATCAGTTATATCTTATGTGTACCAACAGAAAATTTTATGTGAGGGGTAATCTGATTATTTCTTAATTTAGACCCGCATTTACACTAGCCGATCTCCTAAAATCTCAGACTCAGCCTTTTAATGCATAGGTCAGTGCAGAAGAAAAAAGAAACTGTACCCTTGGCCCTAGCTCAGGCCCCTTGATCTGATAAGGAGAAAAAGGTCTTTGCCATTGTATTTTTAAAGCTAAAAGTTGAAATTAAGAGACAAAGTGGGCCAGATATTTATAACATATTCACAATTCTCTTATAAACCTTGGATTAATCTTCTCATATGTTACCCCTGAGATGAGTACTTTCTGACAGTATTGTGATTAAAAGCACAGGCTCTGTGCTTAAGCTGCCTGGCTTTGAATCCTGGCTCCAGCACTCACTCACTAGCTGTGGGACCCAGAGTAAGTTATTTGCCTCATTTGTAAAATGGGAGTAAAAATGCTACCTATTTGACAGATTGCTGTGAAGATAATGGATTGATGTATGTAAAAATTAGCACTCAAAAATGTTAGCCATTCAGGACAGGAATAAAGACGCAAACATGGAGAACGGACTTGAGGACACGGGGAGGGGGAAGGGTAAGCTGGGACAAAGTGAGAGAGTGGCATGGACATATATACACTACCAAATGTAAAGTGGATAGCTAGTGGGAAGCAGCCGCATAGCACAGGGAGATTAGCTCGGTGCTCTGTGACCACCTAGAGGGGTGGGATAAGGAGGGTGGGAGGGAGACGCAAGAGGGAGGAGATATGGGGATATATGTATATGTACAGCTGATTCATTTTGTTATAAAGCAGAAACTAACACACCATTGTAAAGCAATTATACTCCAATAAAGATGTTTAAAATAAAATGTTAGCCATTTTGATGTTGATAATAATGACATTTGAAGTTGAACTTGACTTCATTACACCGTGCTGGGAATTTAATATTTTGAGTTTCAATTCCCAAACTTTGAAAGTCCTAGGCTGCCATTCTTGGAGGAAGCAGTAATTGTAACCTGTGCACACCTTGGGACAATGGCTGACATTCGCTAGCAGTTCAGGTTTCCTCAATTCCCCACTCCCCTCTTCTCATTCCTGGAGTGCTGATTAGGCTGTTGTTCCACTGGGTACACAGCTGTGAGCTCTCCTTGCTGGGCCAGTGGCATGGCCCACTTTGAGGGCCACAGAAAGCAGTTCTGTTATCCCGAGTTAGAAAGACGCAGAGACAGGGTAGCTTGCTAGTATTTTCTGGGACACAGGAAGAAAATTAGTTGGAATAGTTCATTAATAATTATTTTACATTGATACATTTTGCCTCGATAATATTTTAGATATACTGGGTTAAATAAAATATATTAATAATTAATTTCAATTGTTTCTTTTTACTTTTTTGTCATGTGGCTACAAGAAAATTTGAAATTCCTTATGTGGCTTGCATTTGTGGTTCATGCTGTATTTCTATTGGGCTGCGTGCGCTATTTTAGAAGAACAGGAGAATTTCGGAAGGCAACCAGAAGCCCTTGCCTTTTCTATCAGAGCCCGGTTTAGGATATGTGGAAATGATTCCTGCCTTGGGCGGGAGATTGGTGTAGGCCATTTCTGACCACAATTTTAGTGTGGGCCAAGTAGAATAAAAGGACATGGGGGAAAAGCACCTCCCAGGGACACATGCCAAGCATTCTGAAATAGCAGAATGTAATGCACCATTCAGTAGCTTTGAGTTTTGAATTGTCAGATAAGCCTTCCAAGAAGTAACTAAATTCTGGATAGTGTAGCATTTCATAATGCTTAAAGTGCTGTGTAAATGAAAGATACTGACAAGTATCAATAATCTAGTGATAAAATAAAATTAGTCAATGGTCAAAGTAAATTTCCCTATTGAGAGATGACTTGGTACTTCCCATTTAGGGTACAGTTCAAATATCTGTTTTGCACCTACTGGGTTATCTGTAGTTCATCTGGAAAATGTGTCATGTTAGCCCCAAGGCAAGAAGTCAGTGTAGCCAACTTCCTAGATTACATTAACACTAGGCATTTTCCCCACTCTTTGTCTGGGAGTCTTTGCCCATGCAAACACGCAGAAGAGACCCTAGATAATATTTGCTGATACTGTCAATACCAAGGAGTGGCTTGAAGGAGCTAAAGCCCCCTCATAATCTTCATCTGGCCCCCCAAAGCCATAAACAGGCTCTCAAATAAAAACTCAGCTTCAAAGCAAACTTCCTACGTCCCCACCCTTTCTAACCAGACTTCTAGTTCTTCCATTTGGCAACTCTGGAGTTGCCCCTGGCTTAATAGTAAATGAAACGAGTGTGTGTGTTTGCGTGTGTGTATCTGAAAATCAACATATGGCAATGATGGAATTCTCATGACAAAAGGCAAATTTACTTGAAAACTGGGGAACCTATTGAAAATCACCTGCCTTTATTTAAAAAAATACAGTTTATGCTGCGGGTCAGTCATGATCAAGGGAGAGACCTTTTCCTCCTGCTCTCCACCTCAAAGGGAATAACAATCCTTTTCACAAGTGTGTGGTCACCTCTGAGCCTGTTCCCAAGCTATTTTAAGTAGCTGAGGGTGGAAGGTATTTTTATACGTACACACTCACAAATGATAGATAAAACTCTAAGGACTGACATCCTGATTCCCACCAGTCCAAAACAGGTACCCCCCCAATTCAGAAATGGTTTATGTCTCTCATGTTAAATTCTGAGTTGTTTAGTGGAACTTGAAATGCTTTCTCTCACAGATACGTGTATGTTCTGCATCCTAGTCCCAAGGCCAAAAAGTTAATTTAGCTCCTAATGTAGTTCTACCAGTAAAACAAAACAAACTTGTGGAAGCCATGTTGGTTTCTACCCCACAGCATTTCTGTTGCAAACTCCCCAGCTCAGGGTGAATGGGAGATGCAGCCTCCCACATCCTACCTCATTTTATAAAAGGGCATCTTTTACATACTCCATCTCATTCCTCTCAAAGTGTAACTTATTGATTCAGAGCAGCTTCTCCCTGACAGAAGATGGGGCAGAAGTGTGAGGACAGTGGGGACCAGGCAGGAGAGAACATAGGTAAGAAAGGGAGTTAATTTGTGTGTGTGGGAGGGTCATATCTAGGCTTTTAGGATCCTGTGTCCTCTCCCACCCCTAATCTAAAGCAGTGAGGGAGGCGGGAAGTAGGATAAAGTTACTTCTTCAGCCTCTACAAGTCACACTGACCAATGGCAGCATCGTTTATCTTTTTCTTTTCTCCAAGACTGTGTCAGGTGAGAGTCACTGCCAACTGTTTATTCCCTGTAGGGTCAGTCTTGTGCTTCTGAAGATTAGGAAGCGGAGCTGCTGAAACTGAGCTCTCATTTCTCTGTGAGAGGCCAGCACATGCTCGGATACATCCCAGGCTCTGCTACCCACATTACACCTTAAGAGGCTCCAACTCACAGCATCATGGAACTAACCACTGATGTTGCCCCCAACCAGGGCAGCACCCAGCCCAGAACCTAGGCAAGGCGTTCCTCCAAGCAAGCAGCCTTTCCTCTAATTATCATTATGAACATATTATGAATTTTCATGGCAACAAAGAGTTATACTCCCAATATGTAGTTTGGGAAATCTGTAAGCTAGGTTTTGTTGAACTTTTAAGACAATGAATGCTCTGGACTTCTGGCAACATGGACCCTTCTCACCTGGGACCATTCTCAATGGAAGGCTAAGGGTTGAGTATTACATTTTGTTCTGGGAGAAACAGAAGGCAGAGCCTGGAGAACTAGCGCCAGTGGATGGGGGCACCGGGAGGCAAACTACAGCTCAGGGAAGTCAGGTTGTAACTGACAACTACCCAAAGGTGGAAGGGGCTGTTTCTTCGTCAGGTACTAAGCCAGACTGGCCTTGTACAGCGGCTTCGGGCTCTAGGGTGGCAGTCTGCGCCGGCTGGGTGGAGAGCCAGGACTCCCCTTCGGGGGGACTGTGCTGGTAAATGAGAAGCAGTAGCGTAGAGGTGCCCGTTTGCTGGGGTTAGGGAAGTAGGAAGCGGGGCAAAGGTGAGAAGGGAGAGGGGAAGGCTATAGACCCTTTACAAATGAGGCCATAATTTTACAAGTTGCAAAATGTGTGTGGTGGTGGGAGTAAGAGGGGAGAGTGTGAGAAGGCTGCCCAGTTCCTCTGTGGAAGTGAAGGGAGCGACTCACCGTGAAAGGCAAGGAGCAGACGGCGAAGGTGATGGTCATGATAGCCAGGAGAATGAGATGGTCCGTCTCCTCCGCCATGGATACCCTTTCCCCTTTCCTGTGGCTGCCAGGGCCGCCCCGGCTGCTGCCCAAGGAGGGTCCGGAGCGGCTTCTCCTGCCCCGGCGATGCATGTGGATGAGGTTGAGGATGACACTGAAGTTGCAGGCGAGCACCGCGATGATGAGCAGTAGCAGCAAGGTGGCGTAAAGCCGCAGGTACGTGGTCTGCTCATGCCCGATGAAGCACCACGTCCCAGGGCAGTACTGGGCGTACTGCCGGTGGTCCAGCAGCGGCAGGGAGCAAAAGAGCAGGGAGACTGTGTAGATGGCGGGCAGCACAGCCAGGCCACCACGGCACGTGACCCAGCGCTGGTAGAAGTAGGGGTGTCCGATGGCTAGGTAGCGCTCCAGGGCCATGGCAAAGAGCATGAGCATGGTGGCCAGGCTGAAGAAGGTCATGGAGAAGGCAAAGTAGGTGCACACGCGCCTCTGGGGCTCCAGGGCCACCAGGGTCTGGTTCCGCGCATACGAAGCCAGCACCACGGGGCTGATGAGGCAGGTCCCGAGCAGATCGGTGAACACCAACTCTGTCACCAGCACGTGGAACAGCGAGGTGGAGTTCCCGCGGCCGGCGCTGCGCCCCGAGTCCCCCAGCCAGCGGCGCACCAGCAGCGCCAGCGCGATGAGGTTCCCCAGCACCCCGGCCGAGAACATCACGGAGCTGATGGCTGGGCTTTCGCCGGAGGGGAGCCACTGTCGAGTATCGCAGTTCTCTGGCCAGGAGTCATTGGAGGTATTGCCCATGGTGGGGCGCCGGAAGAAGAGATGCGTCCTCCTCTCCCGCCGGCCTGCACCTGGCTGGAGGAGGGTCTGAGAGCCGGAGTGCTCCGAGACACCCAGGGAAAGGGGAGGGACCGAAATCCAGAGCCCCCTGCCGGCCGCCAGCGCGCATAGAGGGCGGGCTCTGCCCGGGTCTCCCAAGGCTCGCGGAGAAGCCGCTCTGCTGCCGCATCCATGCGGCGCTCCAGGCCACTGGGCCGGCGCGCGCCCAGGGAGCCGGCGCCGCCGCCGCTTCCACGTCTCCCGGGGGTGGCGGCTGTCCCAGAGCGAGAACCCGCGAGCCGCCAGAAGGTGGGCGCGTCACACTGCAAGTCTCTCCGGGGAGCGCGGGGGCGGAGTGCGCGCTGGGCGAGGCGCGAGGGTGGACGGTGGGAGCAGCGGTCCTCGTTCTCCGCTGCTCGGCTTGCTAGATGCCCGCAGGCTGCTTGAGCACCGCTGGGAAGTGTTTAGCCCTGGTAGAAGTCTGGGAGGAAGTGCGGGGCACTGGCGGGCCTGCGCAGGATTCACAGAAGGCGGGCAACGCCGGGGAGAGCTAAGGGACTCACTAAACAGTAGAGAAGTTAGGAGGACCCAGTTCCGTGAGACGTGAAAAAGAAGGGAACAACAGACACCAAAGACGGCTTGCAGTAAGACCAATATGTTCTTTTTCTTTTATTTTTAAAAGCATTTTCAGGAAAACACACCAAGAAGGCGGGACCAGAGTTAGGAGGAAGTGAAAAGCAAGCCTGTGCATTCAAGGAACCAAAACACGCATACACCAAGCTGCCTGTTGCACTGTCGTTTTGATTGGCTTCCCAGCATTTCGCCTTTTCTTATGTCAACACCATAACGGATAACCACTTGTTTAAAAAACCAATAAAAAAAAAAAAGGAAAAAAAAGGGAAATGTTCCTTGTGATTGTGTAGAATTGTGTTTGTGGGCACAGCTTGAAACCACTGCACATTGTTCTCTACTCAAGCTCAGCCACGAAAGAAAATGTTCAGCCATACATGTTTTTCATGTTCAGTTAACCGTTCAGGACCCATCTGAAAAGAACCGTTCCTGGTAAAGTTGAATTGGTAAGTGGCCAGTTTCAGAGACTGCAGCTGACAAAAACGGTTTCTAACTACCCCCTTTCACATATGCAGTCATGAAAATGGGCTGATGTTTAAAACAAAAACCCCAGTTTGACAGACAACATGGGTAATTATATTTTGTAAGGAAGGTCATACTCACTTGGGGAAGGATCTGCAAAGGGAACTGGAAAAGGGGTGTGGGAAGTCATCCTCTGAGAGTAAAGGAAAGATTGCCTGCTGAAGAGCACCCCTTCCTGCAGCCTGCTTGCAGTCTATGACTATTTTAGCTCACTTTGATGATTCTGGCTTGGGAATTAGGTTGGGGATGGGAGTCCCAACAGCACAAGCTCACAGGGGGTTTATTTTCCACATGTAAGAATGTCAGTGGTGGCAGGCTGGTGTACCTCCAGGACTCTTTCCTCCGGCCTGCCATTCCTAGCATGCTGGCTTTCTGTCTACATTCTGTTCCCCACTGGTCAGCAGGATTCAACCAGAGAAACAGAACCATGTCATCACAGAAGTTCTATTGGACAGGGCTGCTTTGGACCTTACATGTTGGCGGGAGAAGGTGGGGGAGTCTATGCAAGGCTGTTTGCTGTCTCTGGTTCTAGTGTTGAACCTGAAATCACCATAGATCAGCCAGAGGCAGTCAGGATAGAAAGCTGGACATGGATGAGAGCAAGAACAGACTTAGAACTTGTGGGGACAAACTGGAATTCACGAACAACCGTAATCTTCAAAGACAGACTGCACCTGCATGTGTCTCTCATTACTTCCAACTTTGATGATGCAGATATACTGCAGGAGAAGCTGGCACCCTTCATGGAGCTGCACATGCACTTGGTTTAGGACCTGGAGAAGCTGAAGATCTGGCAGGAGCTGGGTGCTGCCTCATGCCAGCAAGGGGAGCCAGCAGGTCAGCTACAATGTGCTAGAGTTACCACCACACCTGGAGCCCTGCACTGTCCTTCAGAGCGTGAAAACCATGGCCACTGCCTCACTGTTGCCTTCAGAGCTCATGCGACACTGAAACCATGCAACATTCTGGAAGATAGATCCTGCTTAGCTGAGTTGACATACTACAAAGTCACCACACTGCCCCATAGGTCCAGGCATCAAGTCAATTGAATATGCTTCAGCCCAGAAATAGTGGTATAGAAATATACTGCCTCAAGGAGACATAATCTGACAAGTACACAAAGATGTTACACATACACAGAGAAAGCAGAAATAATGTTCATCATTGCAAGAATCTAGAACTAAATGTCCTACCATTGAGGACTGGTTTAATAAATTTTTGTACACCTATATAACACAGTACACAGTCATTAAAAAGGAAGATGTGTATCTATATTTACTGATAATGATCTCTACCAGTTGAGTTAAAAGCGTGTATATTATTCCATTCATTCATAAATAAAATTATATGCATAAGTATTTGCACAGAGCAGCATCTAGAAGGATGTTCAGCAGAATATTAATGGTAATTTCTCTGGTAGTACTTTATTCTTTATGTCTTTCTGTCTTGGTGGATTTTTCTACAAGTATGTATTATCTTTATATCAGGAAATGCAAGGAAGCTGCCTTTTACTTAGAAAAAAATTAATCATTGGAGGACTCTTTTCTACTTGGTAGAAGGCAGGGGGTTAAATGCTAATGTTTTCAGTTCTCTTCCACTTCTACTCCTTAATGAATGAGAAGGTCTTGTTGGTTTCTTGAGACTGATCAAGAAGACTGGAGATGCTATCCTTAGAGTTTTCACAAGGCTTTTGTAACTGTCCTTATTTGAAGATTGGAAATCATCACACATTAGGCACCATTTCTAATGAGATGGTGCCCTGCCCCACTTGAAGTGATTGCTTTGACAACAGACTCTTGGTATGTGTTAGCGTTGTTGCTTAACTCAGTTCTGACACTATCATTACCAGGTGGTAAAAGTGGTAGCAAAAAGTCAACCAAAGGGTCAAAAACAAACAAAATACGCAGTCAATAGAAACTAACTTCAAGGTTTGTTCACAACACTACAGGAAATTGTGAGTGGGCAGGTAGAGAATCTTAGTAAAGAAATGGAAACTATAAAAAAGAACTAAATGGAAATTCTAAAACTAAAACTTACAGCAGCTTGCAGTTGGCAGAAAAGTGAAGTTGAAGAATAAAATCACATCTGGTCACCTTTCTTTTCATGTCATCACGACTTTTGTGCTCCTGGGAAATATTCTCATTTTTTCCATACCACATAAGGCTTAGAGAGCTCTCGTTTCCTGCTGCTTGCCCTGTTTCTACCCAAGAAGTGAAACATGGGTTTCCTATGCTCTCAGATCTCTCAAACCTCGCTGAGATTTGGGGGTACAGAGCAACCTTATCTAGGAAACCCCCGTGTTAACATCTAAGCTCTCCCAGTTCTCTTAAACTTCACCATCCCTCCTTCACAGACTGTGGAACTACTGGGGGAGAAGTGGTGAAACTTTGCTCTTCCTTATCTCCTCTGATCTGGTCTTATCATTCAAAAGTCATAAGCTAAGAATTGATGCCTGTGCCATCGTCAAAAAATCTACAAACAATAAATGCTGGAGAGGGTGTGGAGAAAACGGAATGTAAATTGATACAGCAACTATGGAGAACAGTATGGAGGTTCCTTAAACTAAAAATAGAACTATCATATGACTCAGCAATCCCACTACTGGGCATATACCCTGAGAAAACCATAATTCAAAAAGAGTCATGTACCACAATGTTCATTGCAGCACTATTTACAATAGGACATGGAAGCAACCTAAGTGTCCATCGACAGATGAATGGATAAAGAAGATGTGGCACATATATACAATGGAATATTACTCAGTCATAAAAGGAAATGAAATTGAGTTATTTGTAGTGAGGTGGATGGACCTAAAGTCTTACAGAATGAAGTCAGAAAGAGAAAAACAAATACCATATGCTAACACATATATATGGAATCTAAAAAAAAAAAAAAAAGGTTCTGAAGAACCTAGGGGGAGGACAGGAATAAAGACACAGACGTAGAGAATGGACTTGAGGACACGGGGAGGGGGAAAGGTAAGTTGGGACGAAGTGGGACAGGAGCATTGACATATACACTACCAAATGTAAAATAGATAGCTAGCGGGAAGCAGCCGCATAGCACAGGGAGATCAGCTCCGTGCTTTGTGACCACCTAAAGGGGTAGGATAGGGAGGGTGGGAGGGAGACACAAGAGGGAAGGGATATGGGGATATATGTATAGCTGATTCACGTTAGCAGAAACTAACACACCATTGTAAAGCAATTATACTCCAATAAAGATGTTAAAAAAAGAATTGATGCCTATGTTCTGCTATATTGTCCTTTCTCTGAGGCAGTCAGCATAGAATGCCCTAGCTACTGCTAAAAGCAGGGAGAAAGGTCTGGAGTATCAGGAAGTACTGGGCAAAAACAAACAAACAAACAAGCAAAAACTCATAAGTTAATATGGTTCTCTCATCCTTAGACAGGAAATAACAGAAAGGTAAACCCACAACATGGCTTATTAGCACAATGGCTTAGATCAAAAGAGTCACTCCAATAATGCTAGGAAGGCAAATTACCTGTGATCCTAATTTCCTTTCTAAGATTGATAGAGGAAAAAGAGACTAATATAATCATGACATTCCCTTTTACCAGAAAGCTTTGTGTCTAAGAACAGAACCAACTGTAAGGTGGAAAAGCACATATAACACAAAAGTAAGGCTATGGTTATTCAATTTCTTTGTATAAAGTAACAACTCATTATAGAAGTTTTGGAAAAATAGAAGAAAAAAAGTCACCTATGAGTGTATCCATCAAAAATGGTCACTCTTAATATTCTGTTGTGGGATTGGTTCAAGATGGCAGAGTAGAAGGACGTGCTCTCATTCCCTCTTGCGAGAACAC